AAATCACCTTCTCGTTGTAATACCTATGTCACACCCATGTTATTATACAAATTTGTGTCCTCATAAACCACATAAACATGCACACACACACACTCTCTCACTCACTCACACACAGACACACACACACACACACACACATTTATACTGTGACCTGTGATGTCAGGCTGATGTGACACCCAGTATTGTAAAGCTCAGATTTGTTTTGATAATTTCCCCAAAATTAATGACATCACTGTGTTCTGTGAATTCATGAGAAGAAAGCTCTATTTTTAACACGACCCATACATCCCACAAAACAATACAGTTCTCACTATTCTTCAAAACAAGCCTAAAATCCTGGCAGAGAACACAAACCAGCCTCTGAGTTCACAGATTTCACAGACTCATGTTTACAGTGAGGAACTGTTATCTGATGGGCCGGACTCTGGTGCAACACACCCTACACACTTACACACCACAGGCAGGGTGTGACTTATATGAATGATATCTTTATTTCAGACTCAAAAAGGTCCATATAAAATAAAAAAGCATACAAAAACAACATACAACATGGATAACAACAACAACAAATACCAAGAAAATAATTTACATCTAATATCCATATAAGCACTTTCTCCAGTGCCTCCAGAGTGCAGAGGTGTACCTAACAGTACTCTTCTCCAAGATCACAATCATTTCATTTTTAGAGGCCTCAAGTCGCTTTATAAATTTATACACAAAATTTCTGATAACAGCACACAACATAGGCACCTGATTCTGAACAAAAAGCTGACTGGCACTTGTACACCGAGGGGCTTTTAATAAAAGTCGCAATGCATCGTTATATGCAACCTGCAACTTGTTAAATGTAGCTTTACTGTAACTGCACCACAAGTGAGCAGTATACAGTGGAGTGCAATAGGCTTTAAACAAAGCTATTTTGACATCATCAGTACACATGCTAAATTTACGAGCAAGCATGTTAGCTTGTGCATACAATTTACAATACTGTCTCTGAATGTCATCATCGTCACAAAGGTCTCTTCTAATGATGTGACCAAGATATTTGACCTTATTCACCACAGATAACTCCTGTCCAGCCAAATAAAAAGAGAGGAACACGGCCTTACGGTCCTCCTTTGTCCTCACTATTATAACAACACTCTTTTTGGTGTTAAACTTTAAATCATATTGCTCACCGTAGTCAGAGCAGACTCTAAGCAACTGTTGCAGCCCAGCAGAGTAAGGTGACATTACGACTAGGTCATCTGCATACAGTAGATGGTTCAAAAGTCTTTCTCCCACCATGCACCCAGCCTTACAATTTTTAAGTCTCCGAGTAAGATCATCCATATAAAGGTTAAAAAGCATGGGTGACAATATTCCACCCTGTCTAACCCCATTTGTCACTAAAAAAGGCTCCGATATTGTCGTGCCCCATCTAACCTGCATTGTTTGGTGTGTATACCAAAAATGCAGAACCCGTACTAGGTATGGGGGAACCCCTCGCTGCTGTAATTTTACAAATAGCTTTCCAGCTTTCCATCGGTCAAAGGCTTTAGAGGCATCTAAAAAGCACAGACACATTGTGGAGTTCTGCCTTCTGTACTTACTCACTTACTCACTCAATGCATAGATACACATATCAGTCCCATGCTTACTTTTAAAACCAAATTGCTCATCATTGGTAATAACATATTGCTGAAATCGATCCAGTAATATTATCTCTAATACCTTAGACATCACGCTGGCTAAGGCAATAGGCCTATAGTTTTCTGTGCTAGATATTTTCCCTGTTTTGTCTTTAATTACAGGTACCAGCAAAACAGAAAGCATAGAACTGGGCAATGTGCCATGAATCAACATTCCAGTAAAACACAAGGCCAATAAAACAACAAGTCTGTGACTAGCAAATTTCAAATGCTCTGCTGTGATCTGATCTAGGCCACAAGATTTATTCAGAACTAATTTTCCTATAGCAGAAGCTACTTCCTCAGCCTTGATAACCTCATTATTAAAAGACACATTCCCAATAATGAAATCGTCACTTTTAACACAATTGAATAGGTCACTATAATGCTTTCTCCAAAGATCTGCAATGTTTTCATATCCAGTAACCCCTTCAACACTAGAGGGCAGAGGAATTTTACTAGCATTCATGACTTTAACTTCTTTCCAGAAATCTTGTATATCATTTTGTAATAATTTCTTAGCCAAAGAATTAGCTCTGAGAGTATGTTCGCTCCTTTTTATGAAGCGGTGCATATGCAGTGATCCAGCCATGAAGTTGTATTCCAGGCCTCACTGACATATGTGTAGCTGTCAGTTGGCAACAGATCCAAACTTGACAGAATTAAAGTATTATCCTGACAAAACCTAACCAAGTACTGGCCAAACAAAGATTTCACATCAGAAACATCTGCATTAAAATCTCCCATTACATAGATACAAGTGCATTCACTCTCTTCAATGAAAGAGCATATAAAAGCAAGCCTTTGAATAAATTCATCCTCATTACCAGGACATTCATAGGGCATATAAACATTTAAAATAATAAAAACATTATTGTCGATGGCTACTTTTATTCCTATACACCAATCAACATTCAATCTAATCACTGTGATTACAGGAACATATTTCATAGGCCATATAATGGCCACTCCACCAGATATTCTACCATGCACAAACCCCAAACTCAAGTCTGTTGTGGACTCTCCCACCCCGTGAAAGACACCACTGACTGAATTAAGTTTGTCCAGATCCTGTTTCGGAAGGAAAGTTTCCTGTACACATAAAATGTCTGTGTTCTCAAACAGTTTGTCAACAACGAGCCGTCGAGCCTTATCCGTCGCAGTTTGATCCAAACGCAAACCACGGGTATTATATGACACGACTCTCATTATACACTGACCTTTGGAGCATATGCTGGGAATCATGATTCTCTGATGAGTAATTCTTAACAACAAGACTGTATACATTACCATTTGCACACGCAACATGTATTACACTCTGTATCTTTCCATGCATTTGTTCATTTTGTTAAATGAAACATGTTTTGCTCATTGTTAGATCATGTTAGTTCTTAATGCTACTATGCATCAGTTTATTTTTATATAATATGAATTAATATATATAGAAATTTACATAAGCCAATATTTATATCCTGTGTGATGGGCTGTATGGGTTACACCTTCCTGCTTGCAACACCAAGGTCATGGGTTCAAATCTCAGGAAAGCAAGAACTGTGCAATATTGGCTTTGGATAAAAGCGTCTGCTAAAATGCATAAATGTTGAACACTTTGGATATTGTTCAATCATACAGTAATCCATATACCGACTTCTTTCTGGAGAAGCAGGCACCTCTCACATTCGCCTGAAGGTGGCGCTGCTGTATTTCATTCTATAGAGAAAAACATGACTCAGACTTGTGCTCGCCTTTCTCCAGAAAATGGCCAAAAAATCTGAAAGTGATCAAAGCGCTGCTCACCTGCGTGTGCTCATTATAGTATTTGTTGTGTGTGGAGCCACATAAAATAATGCTATTAAATGAATCACTCTGGTGCTTGTAATTAAATAAATTAGGAATTCTACTCGTTGCCAGATGGACCAGGTGTAGAATTAGTGCATCCCAAATC